ATTTTACTTTTACAAGACTCTTTCTGTCGACATGGGAAAACAAGTGAGGGGAACAAAACTTAAACCCCAGCTAGTTAGTTAAATGGAAGCAGGGATGTAAAAACAAGGCAGTCCCTTTGATCTCGTACCTGTGCTTCCACCGTGTAAATGTGAAGTATGTCACAATGTTGAACTATCATTCAGGCGTTTTACTTCTAGAATTATATAGGATTGTTAAGCGTAATAAATTGCATACATTGAAATGAAATGAATACATTAATTTCATTTAATTTAATTGATTGTATGACCCTCTGAAATATAGCCAATGTAGTCTTGTGCCACAATCAAATTACTATTGAATTGTGTGTGTCTGTTTGTTGAATTAAAGGTTAAAAAACATTACTGGCTTAACTTTTGCAAACTTTCCCATTTGACATTTACGGTTTTGGTAACGGTCATGTTCAGTTGCACTTCTATAAAGTTAAATCTAGCTTTGCATTTTGACATCTCAGAATAATATCGAACAGGATCAGAGGTGCACAGACTTAGAAAGACGACATTCTGTAAGGATTGCATTTTTCAGATCTGAAAAGGGAAAGACCGGAACAACTCATGAAGGAAATGAAACAGTGTTGTATTCTTGACCTCCTCTCCATGATACACAGATCTTTTTGCTTAAAATTCACTCTTGCGTTCTTTAAATTACAGCCCACAACTCTCTCTCTCTCATCAACACAAACAGTATCACTAGCAAAACATGTAATTTCCCTCTATATTCCAAATGCCACCACTGCCCCGAAAGAGACCGCCAACTGTCATTTCATCGCCGTGGCTGTCACAAAAATAATCACTTAGGACGCTGCGCCGTTAAAATAGTCACTCAAACGCCATGGCAGTCATTTGTGCCAGCTTCTGTTGGCACGCCGCCGCCATGTTTTCACAGACTGCTATTAATGTCAGGTGTAGCCTCGGAGACCAGGACCTCCGTCTAAACCCCCCCTCTCCCCGTCCCACGGCGATCCACGCTCTCTTAAAGTGCACTGGTTTATGCCATTGTTCAGGCGGCTCCTCATTTATCCATTCTGTTAAGCATGACACGTGTATTAACAGTGGATGGATCCTGGAGCTGCGCGTCCTCACACCATATGTTGGCTTGGGTTGGTGTGCTGCGTCGGCCTTCTTCTCCCGAGTAACTACTGAGGTGTGTTCTGGTGTGCGGCCACTGGAGGGCAGGGTTGAGCTGTGAATGGATGAGAGAGAGAGCAGGCCTTTAGAAATGGTGTACACTTACTGTTGTTGTGTTTGTTGATGAAGATGTGATAGTTGTTGTTGTAGATGTAAGCCAAAAATAGGTTTTAAACGTGAATTGATTAAAACATAATAATTCTGTAGTTTTTTTCCTTATTGAATCGGCAAAACGTGTAGCTTTTAGGTTAGATTTCATTTCATCTTTTTTTCTTTTCTTTTTTTTCTCTAGGTTCATGCAGGATTCAGTTGCTTGACATAGATACATACATCTACATTTACTCTTCACCTCTATAGAGACCTAAAATGGAGCGGGATTAATAGTAAGACCGGTGATTTCAAACCGGTGAAATATATTTTACATAAACTCAACACAGACACACAGATACATATTTTTACATTGGAAATCATAATGTAAGAAAGGCAAAAGTTAGCAAAGTGACGCGAGTTTATATGTAATAATTTCTACACAGGTTCTTTTTCGGGTCCAGAATGTTTTCAGTGGTAAAAAGTCTACAGTGAGTTTTGAATAAAAAAATAAAAATAAATAAAATTCACGATTAAACACAGTAAAGAATAAATCGACACATATAAATACCCTTCCAATTAATATTTATATTTAACATCCTTGATACATTAGGATTAATTTTTCTAGGATTCACATTTTAGTTCTGGTCTGGTTACGTTATTTCTATTAGGAAAAAATAAGGGCATAGATTTCTGTATTTATCACCAATGATATAAATTGCTTTCGAAAATACACACATTTAAATGCACCCCCTTTCTCTACACACTTATCCCTGTTCTTTGGCTCCTTCCCAACACAATTACCAGTGCATATTTTTACCATAGAGCCACAATGTCATCAAGCCACATCAAAGTCAAGCAAAATCCAAATCTCTCTCTCTCTGACACACACACACACACAACATATCATTTCATCAAAGTGACAAATGCACGCCACATTTTTTATAATTTTTTCCCCCATTTTTTTACCCTCCGATTTGTCTGTAAGGTGCATCTGCTGCGTACCCGAATGGGAAATTAAAAACTGCAAAATGAGAAGTTATGCTAAATGTATAAAGTTGGCCGGGAAATGTCTCCCCCACCGCCGTCGCGCCAGTTGTTTGGGGAGAAAGAGCTGCATGCTTAAATAATAACATTCCAGGTGGCTTAGTTAATGAACAGTGAAAATCAAATATGGGACCCTAATCTGGAGCTCGTTATGCCAACTTTCTTTACTGAGAAGTCAAAGGCAGGGAGTGGGGGGGATGCCCTTGGGACAGATTTTTTGGGAGAAATTATTAAACCATATTTTGTTTTTTCTGTGTATTTATGGCCGAGTATGAAATAGTGCTCGATATAAATGGATTGTGGAATTAGAGAGCGATGGCGGCGTTAATGGAGTTAGTGTTTTTCATGGCTGGAAGTTTTGGGCGTGAATTACTTCTTATTGAGTTATTTTTAAGGACATGAATGTTTTATAGGGGGATCTGTCTTAGAGATGTATGCGCAGGTGCTGCTCTGTGTGTGGAGAGGAGTGAGTGGTGTGGTTAAACAGTCCTGCAGTGCCTCCTTGTGGTGGGATGGGGGATTGCGTTATCAGGAATTGAACGGGAGATGTTGAGATGGCGCCACAGCAGATCTAAATGTATGCGGTTGTGCGTCACTAATACAATTGTAAGTTACACTGCAAAAAAATTATGAAATAAAAAAAAAAAGTTTAAAATGGCTCAGATTTGGGAAAATTTATCTTAGTTTGAGCTCATTTTGACTGCTTTAAAAGAAGATTTGCCAATGGGACAAAGCAAAATGATCTTGTTTTAAAAATATACTAAAAATGTCTCCCTTGGAATGATAAAATGAAGCAAAAGGTCTTGAGATAAATGGCTTCGTCCCATTGGCAAATCTCGTTTAATGCAAAAATCATTATGATAATTCGGGTTGTAATGGGCTGTAATAATTTGATCAACCAATTCTATAATCGATTAATCATTTTTTGATCCTTAGATAAACTTTTTTAGACTTCGACTTTATTTGACCAGGGTTTGTGACTCAGACAGTTCCATAATGACTGCCGTTCGAAATTAAAAAGTCACTCACTTGAGCCTTGTTTTGGTCAATTACATACAAAATCTTACTTCAACAGACCTTTCGGGATCTAAACAACTAAGTGAGGAATCAAAGTATGAATTGGACAACTAAACCGATTATCAAGATAGCCGTTAATCATGAAGACAGAAAGAAAAGTCACTTTGCATCATCATCTTCCGGCATCAAAACCTACGGTATCTTTCCTGTACCATAAGCAACTTTAATTTCTATCAGAACCTTTTTTTGCCCGCCCTTTTTTTGCCCGACACGGACAATCATTTCTCAACACGCCTCTAGAACAACGTGTGTGCATAAAAACAGTGCTGTTGTCTTCAGCCAGACACTCGGAGTTATTACCCAGCCATGCATCCACTCGCTTTATCACATTATTAGTTCAATATCTCCCCTCTGTTACCAGCGCCCCCCCCCCCCCCCCCCCCCCCCCCCCCCCATTCATTTTGATCCACTCCCGGCTCGGCGCAAACGCTCGTCTCAAATAAAGCCGTGTTTTAATTTGGTTTTGTCAGATTCATAACGCCACTTTAAAAGAACATGACATGCAAATGTGTTCTCTGGCATTTTATTGCAAAATAATTTTCTCAGAAGTTGCTGAGGGAATGAAAGTGTGGGAGCAGGAGGGAGAGGGGACAACTTGTATTATTTAGTGTCCGCCGCGCTGGGAGCTAATTACACTGGTGCATTTCTCAGCCACTCTTAAAAGTTTTTATTATTGGATTTACGCACTTCACTTCGCGGGCTCTGTCACGAGTGAAACAAGTCCAGTTGTCACCGCCGTAATGCGCCATAGCCTCCGCCAGCATTGCAGAGATGATGATTCCGCTCTCTTGTTTTAGTGTCTGTGTACAGCGCCTATTGAATTAGAGAGAAAACAGATCTGCTGACCTGGTGTTATCAGGACGGATCCTTTCATTAAAAAGGCAATGGGGGAAATAACATTATGCTAACGCAACTCTTATATGCAGACGGATCAAGAGATTAGAATACTGTAGAAGTAGTGGTAATAATTCTATTGCCAACGTGTACACAATAAAACAATAAACAAGATGCAAAATAACAAACAAGATACAAAATTGGACGCTTCTTTTTTTTTTGGAAGAGCCCCTCATCATACACACACGCACGCGCACACCTACACACACACATACTCAAAACTGTTCTCTCACTAGGTGCCACTGAGAATGCATTATTTTGTACCTCTGTCACATGTCTGGACCATTTGTCACTCAGTCTGTCATGACGTCATGATTTTTTCTGTCTTATTTGTTTGTGAAATGTCACTTAAACAAGACTCATTCTGTTGGGCCAAGCAGAATTTAAACCAAAAAATATATTTGATCAGCTTTCCCAACACTATTGCACATGAATAACTCATCCTATTAGCGGATAAGATAAGATAAGAGAACCTTTTTTCGTCCCACAGTGGGTAAACTTCAATATTGCAGCACACATACAGTATAGGACAATAGTTAGAGCACACAAAATATACAAAACTAGTAGCTGCTATGTTTCTTAGCTAGCTGTGAATGCTTCAATATCCATGCATTGATATATCTCTATCTATCTAAGCCTCTTGTTGTAACACTGTTTCTATACATGTGTATGTGTGTGTGTTTTTGGGCCCTTGCTAATCCTCCCTCTCTTTCTCTCATTTGGCTCTGTAGTGCATCTGTGGGGAGGAGAGGAGGACCCCATGGCCCAAGATCCCAACAACCACACCAACATCGACAGCGACCTCCCTAACAACAGTAATCTAGGCGACCTCGACGCTGTACACAAAGACTAAGCTTCTACGGAAACCGAACGGACAAGGAGGCCCGATATGACGAAGCAAAGCAAACACAATATATTAAAAAAAGACTTTATTTAAAAATCACACACTCTACCGTCAACCTCCGAAGAAATCATGGATGCATCGTTGCACCGGGACAGTTTTTTCCGCGGGGACCCATTTACGTGCCGGACCTAAAGTGACTTTGGAAAGACGCTAAAAAGTTACCTTCCGCAGCCCTCTTCCTGTTTTCGTCTTCAGTGGTTTGGATGCCCACCCCTTTGTCTTTGCTGTTCTTCCTACGATATGATGTTTTTCTTTTCTTGTGGCACTTGTTTGATTAGCACTCGATGTGTTGGAACCCGCGGTTTCTGAAGCATTCCCTTTCCTTGCCGTAAGACTTTACGAAACAACGCTCGATCGTGTACGTACAAGACGGCGGTGGAAGACTGCTGCGGTGTTCACGGAATTCCACTGTATTTGAATTGAACTTGG